CCCTTTATTCTTTGATTGTTGCCTCATTGTTGCCTTTGTGTGTTGTGTACACGTGTGCATGGGATAGTGTGGGAACTTTCTGAGCAAGCAGCTTGCCCAGAATGTTCCCACAGGTCACAGCCACAATTCTGGGCAAGCAACTCACCCAGAACATTCCCACACTTACTGGGCACTGCCACCTGGGTGTTCCCTCTGGGTCACACTACACAACTCTAGGAGCTGTATAGTTGTGGGCATGTGACCGATTCCTTTATATAGCAACCATCGGGGAGATGAGACCTTTACCCTTCTTCTCATCTCATACCCTGCATAGTGTGAGGACAGGTTAGATGGGGGTTGAGGTCAGGGAGCCCCCAAGTCTGAGGCTGGGCCCTGACAATGGGGTGGAACACTGGGGAGGGCAGAGACAAGGCATAGTAATGTTGCAGGGCGGTGATGTAGAGGAGTAGGATAATGCAGTGTCAGGGGACAACTCCTGGGTCCCCATGACCCTCCCCTATGGTCCACAGCCCTATGGTGTAACCAGCCCTATCCAGGGCACAACCTACTGTGGGTAAGAAGATGAGAAGGAAGCTAACTCCTCATCTTCCCACAGTGGCCACCATATCAGGAAAACTTCCGGGGATACCCGGAAGTCACATGAAGGGGTAGGAACCGGGCCTGGAGCATGCGCATGTTGCAAGTGGGGAGGATGGCTAGACCACAGTCAAGGGTCGCGTCACCACTCTCACAGCTGCTCCCTCACCAAAGGGAAAGAAGAAGGGGGGGGGGTGGAAAGGGCACCTAGGGTTTCGGACTCACTGTGACCCCAGTCCCGACTAACTCAGCCTAAAAATCTCAACACACTAGGTGGACCTCCCTGGAAGACAAGCTAGCAGTACTGCCTGTGAAGCACTGTCCCCAAGACTACAAGCACTCAGACACCACCCCAGGCATACAGACCTAGTACTTAGCAGAGCAGAGGGGAGAATCCCTGTATCATACTAGATACATGTTGTATATAAACCATGGTCATCCAAACTAAAGTCCGAGCAATCCAATGGTGTTAGGGATGGACAGAAGCGGATGGAACAACACAGAACAAAGAAAACAACAGAAAACATGAAAAATATATAGGAACGGCCACACAATCGATAAATTCCGACGATCTCCGCAACGGCTGCACCAAATCTCCCGATATTGGACTCGTTCTACTCGTCTTGATGGTATCTTTCCAACGATGCCAAGTGCGTCCGGATCGGAGAAGAACCGGGGGAGATATGGTGAAATTACTGGGAAAGCGGCCCGGTAACATGTCCGGGTGGGCCATAACCTGGTCTGAAAAATTATCAAAAAATATGAAGATGATAGGGGAGATTCAATGGGCTTTGGGGGACTGGGGGACTGTGTGTCAGGCACTAGGTAATGTCTGCAGGCCATGATATAGCAGTGTCAGGGTACTACTGGCTTTTCCCTCCTTCAACGTGCAGGAAGCGCAGTGGGTGGAAGCGGGTCCGGATGCGGGTCCGGGTCCGGGCTAGTCAGGGTGTGTGCCCTGACATGCAGGCTCTGGAGTTGGTTTCAGAGTTCCCGGAGCCTGGAGTGGAGGTTGGGATTGTACAGATATGTCACATACTGCTTATCAAGGTCACAGTATCAAGTCAGAGCTCTTCTTACATGTTGGAGGTGGACATACCCATGCATGCCCTTCCTGGTTTTTGACTTTCATTCCCCTAACCTGATACATCAAACAGTGTGTTCCAGCTGATTCCATCTGCCCAAGGCACCAACATTCCTCATCCACCCAGACCCCAACATCATGTCATTGCTTATGGTGACATGCAGAAACAAAGTCCAGCAATGAGTGATGGGAGTAAGAAATAAGTATTCTTGATTGTAAAATGGAAACAATCAGACCATGATGCACCAGGGATTCATGATCAGTAAAGTCTGTGAATATTGGACCAATAGTGGGCAAACAAAGAAAGAAAGGGGGGATTTATTGGTGTGCACCAGACAAATATCCACTTCAAGCTTGCCCATCATGTGTGAGCACCAATGTGGGGAATGTAATGATGAGGAGAACATCCTTAAGTGGGGCCCATTTATGCCTCTGAATGATGTCTGAGATTGGTAACAGTTTAATGTAGACTCTTGAGTGAGTTGTCCAATTCAGGGGTGTTTGCTCCTGGGTTAACACATCAGCAAACCTCCACAGTTGATTTAGGTGATTGTAATCATTTCAATTCATTATTTTGTGTGAATCGTTTCTATGAAGTGCCTTAATTACCAGAAGCATTATCGGTGTAATCATTGAGGTAATGGAAATGATTTGGATGATATTGAAGCACCATGGGTAGTAGCTCAGTCTCACAATCAACTCCAGCATGTGTACAGGGAAATCACGTCTAGTTGCAGATTCGATGAAATCAATGAATTTGTCGAGGATTATTTACATGTGCATGGAGTAGAAAAAGGTCGCAAGCTAATCAGTGTCCAGGACGACGAAAGTTCAGGTGGTATTGCTGAGGCCAAGCTTTAGGCTAGAGACAGAATTAGTCAAAATTACTGCATGAGATGAGGAGGTATCGCCCACAGTGCTCTGCAGCCATATTCTTGTGAAATCCTGTTCCAATCATTCACACGGTTTGGTTTTGACCGCCATTTTCCAAGGGACTCCAGAAGTTGTTCCCATTCATCAAAATACTCTGAGTGCGTGAACTCTTGCTGGGGATCTGCAAGAGTCCCAGTCACATACTGATTCAAAGCAAATTTAATCTAAAATTGCACACATTGTAACAGGGAATTTATCCCAACGTCACACAGGCTCACAGGGGGGACAGTAATCTCCTGCCTGCCTCTCTCAATCTCACTAAAGGTCCTTGTAGTACGGTGCTGTATAGTTGTGGCTGTGCAGTCACGGGACTACCCCAACTACACTTGCCAATGTATGTACATGAAAGAATGAAAGAGCACTCTTTTGTTGTTATAAAAATGGGGCCTAATTGGCCCATTTCTATAGCGTTCGGGTGCAGGAGGGGGCCGTGACATTGAGAAGATGTTACAATTAATGTAACAGGTGTTGTAACAAAGGTGTTTACAGTAACATTGACATCGGGTTTTTGGGTAGTAATTGTTGGTTAGGTTCTTCTTATTTACATATCACGTGACTTTGTACTGTACAGAGCCCATAAGAGGCTAGAAATGGGAAATTCCCATTTCCATAACATTTGTAGTGCAAGGGTTATCCCTGCAACTGTCATATCCGTGCATACCCGACCCCGACCCGACTTCCTGTCAGGGCCCGGCCTCGGACTCGGAGGCTCCCTGACCTCATCCCCCATCTAACCTGTCCTCACACTATGCGGGGCATGAGATGTATAGTAAAAGAAAGGAATATATACACTTGCCTATGTGGGGCATGAGATGAGAAGAAGGGTAAAGGTCTCATCTCCCTGCATGGTTGCTATATAAAGGAATGGGTCACATGCCCACAACTATACAGCTCCTAGAGTTGTGTAGTGTGACCCGGAGGGAACATCCAGGTGGCAGTGCCCAGTAAGTGTGGGAACGTTCTGGGCGAGTTGCTCGCCCAGAACTGTGGCTGTGACCCGTGGGAACATTCTGGGTGAGCTGCTCGCTCAGAAAGTTCCCACGCTATCCCGTGCGCGCGCGTGTACACAACACACAAAGGCAACAACAAGGCAACAGTCAAAGAATAAAAGGGGGTAAAGTAGGTGGGGAGTCCGGGGCACCCTAAGGCAGGGTGCTGAACCCTGACACTTCCAGACCTCCACCCTCTTCACCTCCGGAGTCATAACCTACCGCTGCCGCTCCGATACTCACCCTCGGTCCTGGCAACACACCTCCTCCTTACCTCTTCGACTCCATCTCCGTCCGCTCCGATACTCATCTCAGACCGAACACCGCCCCTCCCGTTATCCTCCTACGCTTCCCCCGTCCGCTCCGATACTCACCTTCGGACCTGACTACTCTCCTCTCCACCACTCCTTCTCCCCTTACCTGTCCCCTCTCTCCTCCCTCCGTAACTCCTCCGCCACCCTTCCGCCAAGTTAGGACCTTCCACCACTGTTCTGTACTTTGCACTCGGACACCGCTTGTACCTTACTCCGAGCCTCCGTCATAGTCCCTACCTCGGACTTTGACTCCACCTAGGTCTTAGTCCATTGCATTGGTGACCTCATACTACGTAAACACCATTGCCAATATCCCTCGGACTTTCAACCCCGCCTCCATAACCTCCGTAAGCTCCGCAACCCCCGAGCTTCGCGGATTGCCTTCGGCACCCTCGCCACTTGTAATGTATTTCTCGCATTTTCCCCTCATCCCTATTTGGACTACTGCTTCTTCCTATTCTAGCCAGTTAGTCATCATCCCCACTTCCCCTCATCCTCCTGCCCCTCTGGGCCTCGCCCTCCCTACCTCCTTTTGGATGTATCACAGGTCCTGCCTTATGACCTTCGGTACCTATCCGCTCCTTCTACCCTTTGTTCCCGTTCGGACGTCTTCGTTCCGATTCGGTTACCCTTTGTTTTCCTTGTGCTTTTGCCCCTTCCATTATATATATCGGCGCTTGTACATACTCGTTTTGGTTTAGTCCGAAATCGACCTGAAATGCCCCCTAGAGACTTCCTGCTCACCTACTGTGAAATTAAGGACCAAATGGACAAACAGCAATGGCACAGCGCTCCGCTTGAGTTGCTGAGGCCAAGGTCCCTCCACGCTAAGTCTCCGATTCCACTCCGGAGTTGTCTGTTCCGCCCGGTTCTAACAGCAACAACGTAGAGTCAGAAACCCGTGAAGTATCACCAACCAAAACTCACCATTGTCAGTGCATATGCGAATGTTGCAAGGCTAAGACATTGCAAATTATTCTTCAACTCGGTACGGGCCACTGGAAAACTTGGCCGTAGCTCCTTCAGCGCAAAAGTGTAATCCAGAACTGCCCCAATGGCAGGATGCTCCAATGTGCCAGATCGGGCCTACAAATTGTGAGGATTTTAGCTAGTATGCACAGGAGGACATATTTGCCTTACCTGACTGTCATCCGCACTGTATGAGCGAAATAAAAAATTTGAATTGTCGAGTGCCAGCTGAATGTTCTCCTGCACGGTATTCCTGTCTGCACTGGGTCCGACCCCATAGAAAGCGGGGACTAGAGTCACAAGGTGCTTCTTGAGCTTGCACCTCCAAGACTTGATGTCGCGAGCAAGCTGGAAAAGAACTCAGCTAAGGGCACTGCTCCAATATTGGGAAATAACTCACGGTGTTCACAATGCACTCTGGTATGTCAAATGGCGCAATTTCGGATCTGCGGAATGTATCATCAGTGAGCCTCTGGACAACAGCTCTACATTCGGCACTCTCGATGAAAAGATTTTCAGTGATCGCGTGCAAGTAGAAATCAGCATGGATATGTTCAAAAACCTTATTCAGCTGGGGGTCCTTCTTCATGTCCTTCCGCAGGATTGTCTTGGGGCGGCCGACTTTTTCCTCCTTGGTATCCTCACAGGCATCAATTTGGCTAAATGGTGACAGACGTGAACTACCACTGTTGACACCGTTGTGTTGGGCGAGTCCTCCTGAGCTTTTGGTGGTCTCACTGTCGTCATCATAGCTGGAGTTGAAACTGAGGGGTGATGGTTGACGGCTGCTTGCACTGAGCTGAGTCAGAGCAGGTGATAAGCGATTCTAACAACAGGTTAGTGGTAGAGTAGCATTTCAAGGTATTTCTTACTCTATCATTCATCAGAACAGGTGGCGTCAGATCACCCCATCCTGAGCTGTCTGGTCCCACATCTGGAGCTCTGAGCATAAGGGTGGGTTGCTGAGCGCATGGTTGGTAACTGGACATTTGCACGCCCCTGGGAAGCTCCTCGAGCTGTAAATGGCACCAGGCGAAATTCAGCTTGACACAAGATGGGACTAGGCTTTACCACACCTGTCCTTCAGTGAAAACACTGGAAGGGGTGGAGAGTGGGGATTCTGATTTGACTGGGGCGCAACTCATCATTATGTAATTTGGACACCTGACTTGTAAACTGTCAGCTTACCCTCGGTTGCTTCTGGAAGAAGGGGCACCCCATTGATTTGGACAGATGGAGTAATATTTTCGCAGTTGGGAACCTTAAAAGGGTTAAGTATATGTCAGTCGAGACTTATCAGGAAAGTGATAAGTATACCGTTTCCTTAGTGCTACCCTTATACCGTTCATGAATTGTGAAGGGGATGGTGGGATATCGAGCACGGGTAGTTTTCAGGCAGGTGGGTTTATCTTGATTTGGAGGGAGTTGTGTTTCGGGTGATGCTGTCCTATCCTCAATTGAAACCGGGTGTACAGCAACTGCTATGGTTAATTTGAAATGGATAGCATCCAGGGGAATTAGAGATTGTGCTTACCAGTGCTCTCTGTGCTGGCAGATTCCATGGTCCTGGGTTCAGGTTGGGTGGCTGCAGCAGCTTGTTTCACACGACGTGTTTCCCATGCCTTCGAAGCAGCACTACTTCGGTTGCTCCTACGCACCTGGGATTGGGGTGGAGGGATGGCAGGGTCAGCAACATTCACCGAATCGTTTTTCTTGGGCTTTGAAATGCCAGATGAGGAGCGAGTGCCATGAGTCATGATTTGAGTTGGAAATTGAGTTTGAAAGAAAGGGACTTGCGGACTTAAGCTAAATGTGATTCTCCATATTTATCGAAGATTCCTTAAGTCCGCTGACACGATGTCTTCAGCATCCATGCTCGTTCATAAGGATTATGAGCTCTGTCCATCTTGCTTCAAAACTTGTCAACGCAGGGGTGGGCTGGCAAACCACTTGTGTCGGACCTCTTCCTGTCAGCAAAAACTGCAGCGTGTTACTAGACAGGCCCGACAATACCAAGGACTCACTGCACCCCAGGGAAATTCTGAGTCTGATGGGGAAAACTCTCCTAATGGCCCAGCAGATCAAGCTTTCAACAACGCTCACTACAGCGGAATGGAGGAAGGTTGGGATAGCATCACGGGTGGAGAACAAAGAAACTCTCCTGGACTCAGACCTGGAGTGACAAACGTTGAGGAGTCGACCTCAGAACGTGAAGACCTCCATTCAAATTTAACCGGAATCGTTGACCCTTGCGCTGGGAAACCCCTCCCAGGAGAGGCAGAGACGCTTTGGGACATGCTGTCCAGAAATGAAGATGAAGGGCAGCCATACACACCATTTCGCAATAAGCAGGAATGGGAACTGTGTTATTGGCTAAGCACAGAAGGCCTGTCGCAAGGTGCCATAAATCGCTTTCTAAAACTGCAATGAGTATGTGAGCATGTCTTCTATAAACTATTAGCACAAAACTTTGGATTCAGGTCAACAAACATCCTGACCCTCCAAGCTGGCGCAATGCTTCAGCGATGTATGAGCAGGTCAAAGAAATGCCAGGACCTCCATCTTGGATGTCAGAAATGTTGGAGGAAGGGATCAAGTGATCTCCCAAACCATCAGGGAAGGGGTACCCCCCCCTGGCATAACGGGCGAGTAGTGTATGGATGCACGCTAGAAGTCCTGGGTTCGATACCAGGCTTGTCCATTATGTCATTTGTCCAGTCATGCTGGTTTACATCATAAGAATTTGGAGCTCCGGATAAGTCCAGTAGTCGCACCGGATACAAATTTCCTCAAGAAATAGTCACCCTGGATGAGGCTCCAGATGAACCACAAACCTTATATTGGCACAACCCGGTGGAATGTGCCCACTTCTTATTCCAGAATCCGGATTTTGATGGCTCTATGGCGTATGCTCCTTCTCGTGTATATGATCAACATGGAACAAGGGTATACACGGAAATGACAACTGCAGAGGAATGGCACCTCCAACAGGTGAGTAAGCATCCTTCAATTGAGTAAGCACACATTAGCAACATACCTGATCAGTTGTCACTCGACACAGGAACCACAATCCTTGGCATAATCCTGGCATCAGACCGGACGCACCTAACAAACTTTACTGGTGACCAAAAGATGCATGCTGTGTATATATCGCTGGGGAATATCTCCAAGAATGTTCGGAAACGGCGAAGTGCCCACACGTGGTTACTCCTTGCGAAAATACCTATTTCTAAGTTTTCCAAGACTCACTTCACTGGAAACAAGTCAGAACGGGAATCCATGCCGGGGATTTCTTCTCATCGTCTATTCCATAAGTGCATGAAACAAGTACTTGCACTGCTGAGGGTAGATCGGAGGTTGTATGAGATTGTGCAATCACCTGATGGCAAACTCCGACTGTGTGTCGCCATTCTGATGGCCTGGATAGCGGATCTGGAGGAACAGCTGCTTATCGTTGGGGTGCAGAATTTCAGTTGTCCAGTTTGTTCTGCGAAATTTGAGGATTTGGAACAACACAGATGTTTTGGCATTCGTACAGGCGAAATGATTACGTCCACGCTCAGGAGCGTTTGTGAGAAGTTTCCTACTGCCTCTCTGTATGAATTCAAACTCGAGGTGAAGAAGCTTGGGCTAGGACTCTCTGGTGCAATCGAGGACCCATGCTGGGAAGGCCTTGGGGTAGACCCATATGTCTTCATCAAGCAGGATATTTTACATGGGATACACAAGTTTATTTGGGACCATCCTGGTGAGTGGCTCAAAAACTTACTTGGTCCTGGAGAACTTGACCGTCGGTTCATTGCTCAACCCCCACTTCACTACCGCGTCTTCACTGGAGGGATATCAAAGATCTCACAGGCATCTGGACAGGAGCATCGGACATATCAACGATCCATATTGCCAGTGATCGCGGGCCATGAGAACATTGACAACAAGGTCATTCGTTCAACTCAATCCCTTCTGGACTTCGCCTACATGGCACAGTATCCTTTGCTTTCAGAGACTGACCTCGACAAGATGGGTGACCTACTTTCTATGTTTCACGACAACAAGGACATCTTTATCCACAGAGGAGCATGCCAAGCAGGACATTTTCGAATACCTAAATTACATGGATTGCGACATTTCATCGATGACACCATTTCGGGAGGAACGCCTGATAACTTCTCCACAGAGACTCCTGAATCTCTGCATGTAGAAATGTGCAAAGACCCCTACTGTGCATCAAATCGTCACGAATATGGTGAGCAGATTATCAACTACCTAGGGATTCATGATCAGCTAGCTTTGTGGCAATCATATGAGGCATTCCGAGCCAGGAAGTTGGGTCAAACACAATTCGTGAGTAGTGACCTAGCTTTTCATTGTCACAAAATGGTGATCTTCATGGATAGAATCCCGCAATCCAAACTCAAGTTGCTTTGACAGATCAACAAAGCGATATGAGTCTATCTACCAATCCGACTGTCGTTAGCGCTTGTATCGGGCCTGGTGTCAATAATGTTCGAGTCAGCATTAAGATCACGCAAGACCCACATCACCGTTCTTGTCCTATTGATCAACTAATGGAATCGCATGGCATTCCAGATTTAGTTTCGTCAATTTGCCGAATGCTAGACCTTGATGGTTATGATGGATCATCAGCTGGTCAACGGTGGGAGTATGGGATTGAGAGACTCCCAAAGGAGTATCGATTTGTCGATGTGTGGGACCACTTCCGACTCATGACGCCTCCCTGTGATAAATTCTCTGAAGAAGAATCCGTGACAATCAGTTGCAAGGCAAAAATCGAAAATAAGCCCCATTCCCAGTTCTCGCCAATCCTGGTCGAGATGAATTATTCAGATGGATTACATCGTGAGTTATCCTTGTTTCCTAACTCAATAGGGATGAGTCCTCACATAGCCTGTTGTACCGCCTGGCTCCCCAGGATTCCATCCAGCAGAGCTCCGTCTCGTATTTCGTTGTTGAATCAATGAGCATCGTCGCGATCCTGATGCCAGGCTACTTGCGCATGTGCTCTGGTATTCACCTATCCCCATGCGACCGAGCCGAGACATAGCGATGTATCAAGTCACTCAAGAATTTGACATGCATGGAGGGCGCAAGGCTGGTGTGATTGATCTTTCTCACATCAAGGGCATATGTCCACTTGTGCCCATTTTTGGGGAAAATTGTGACCTGACTGTGACCTCCGAGACCTGCTTCGAAAAAATTCGTACATACCATATCAACCCCTACTCCAGCCACTCTTTCTTCCATCGTTTCCGGTGGTAGAATCTGTCCCAACTAGTGTCACTTGCCTCCATCCAGTCCATGTCCCCATCCCAGATAGGGCAACTTCCGCACTCATGCCACCACTTGCTCACTCACTTTTGAAGCAGTCCGCATCCACCTTGGCTGCGCTCATCACCATTTCACTTGATTGTTAGAACGAGACAGAAGATAAATAATCACATTATTTCTCCAGATGTTGTTGGTGGTGGACCCAAACCTGGTGTGATCTTGCCCTACACTCTGTATGCTTGGTGTGGGGACTGATTGGGACCAACCCAAACTTAGTGTGGTGTCCATTCGTACTCCTTGCGAAAATGGTCATGTAGATGCAGTCACTTATACCTTGAACATACGACCCCTTGCCTGAGGTGATGGAGGGACTGTGGCGCATGTTGATCTAGGATTTCTTGAGTGAGGTGCATGGCGATATCCAGAAATTCGCCTGGGTGTTCATGACTTTCAAAGACGCGATCGTCAAGCAAACTGCTAATTTGGTCACTGCCCATGCCATTAAAGCTTACCCCCGTTCACTCTTTTTGGCGAGAAAGGTATGTGTGGGCTTGCTCAAACCACAAATGCAGAACGAGGGTCGGAACCTCATTCGTCAGGCCGTCAACATGTTTGCCCCTGGGGGGCGATGCATCTGGAAAGCCTCAGATTGTACTTAGGGTGCTCTGAACTCTTCGAGAACTTCTAGCAGTCCCTAGGTGGTCAGATGCGACAATTAAACCTGCATTCTTCGAGAGGTCTCGGGCCCAGGTGAGTTATCTAGCAACAGCGGCTGATGCACGCTGTCATATCCATACAATCCCGACCTCCGCTCCGGGCTCCCGGAACTCCGAACTCCGACTTCCGGAGCCCTACTCCCCCTCCATCACCTTCTCCTTGCCAACTCCCAAGAGGTTATCCCACCTCCAGCTCGGACACCACCTTCGGTCCGACTCCGGAACATTCCGGGTCCGACCCCAACCTCGACACCTTCCAGACGAGCATGCAACACCTATGTTCCCGACTCTGGACCTCTGCTCCGGAATCCTGTTTGCGTCTCCGTCTCCGGAACCTCCGGTCTTAGCTCCGACCTCGGACTTTGACCCCACCTCCGCTTATACCCATTGTATTGGTTAGCTCATTCCATTTAATTATGTTTGCCAATATTCCGGAGTTTAACCTCCGAGTTCGGACTTTCCGGACTTACTCCGGACCTTGCAACTATTGCATTGTCCATTTCAATTCCGCTATTCTCCCTCATTCCTATTTGGGCTGCTGCTTCCTTTCTATTCAGTCAGCTAGCCATTCCCGACTCCCATCCTCCTTCCTTCCTTCTTGGGCCTTGGCCCTTCATTCCTCCTTTGGGAAACACCATTGAGTCAAACACTTGACCCTCGGTGTTGTTCCTCTTTCCATCTCCCTTTGTCTCCTTTTGTCCTACCCTTGTTCCTTTTGATTCCGGACCCCTCCTTATATACAATGTACCTAGTAACTTGTAACCTCAGTCCGAAATCGACATGAATTCCCCCCAAGAGACTTTCCCTCTGCTAGATCCGAAATTAGGGACCCCTAGGACAACCAGCAATGGCACAGCGCTCCGCATGAGTCGCTGAGGCCGAGGTCCTTCCACGCTAAGTCTCTGATTCCACTCCGGAGTCGTCCGAATCCACACATTCTAACACACGCAACCACTAGAGTGAGTCGATGCCTGAAGCTCTGCCACATACAACAAATGCTTTCAGGTTACTCGCTGTTTCTATCGATGATAAACCGACAAATCTGAAGAATTTACGCCCTTGGCTCAAGCAGATCCAAAGCTGCAATCCATGAGATTGCCATTCCCACAATGGATAAAACCATCACCTCGATGTCCATCACCCTCAATGACCCCCCTCCAGATGTACAAGAGTTCCTCTTGTTTGTTAGCACTCTGATGTCATGAGTCGCCTCATCAAAAATATGCTGGAGATTTCGCGTATCCAAGCACCTGTCATATCCGTGCATACCCGATCCCGACCCGACTCCCGGACCTCCTCCTTCCCCACCTCCGGAGTCATACCCTACAGCTGCCCGTTCCGATACTCACCTTCGGTCCTGGCAACACACCTCCTTCTACCCCCCCATGCCACCTCTACTCCTCCTTCCCTCTCCTCCCCTATCTCCGTCCACTCTGATACTCACCTCGGACCGAACACCACCCCTCTCGCCACTCTCTTACCTTTCTCCTCTCTCCTCTCTCTGGTACTCTTCCGCTGACCCCCTGCCAAGTTACGACCTTCCACCGCTGTTCCGTACTTCGTACTCGGGCACCGCTTGTATCTTTGCTCCGAGCCTCCGTCATAGTCCCTACCTCGGACTTTGACTCCACCTCGGTCTTAGTCCATTGCATTGGTGACCTCATACTACGTAAACACCATTGCCAATATTCCTCGGACTTTCAACCCCACCTCCGTAACCTCCGTAACCTCCGCAACCTCCGAGCTTCGCAGATCGCCTTCGGCACTTTCGCCGCTTGTAATGTATCTTTTGCGTTTTCCCCTCATCCCTATTTGGACTGCTGCTTCTTCCCATTCTAGCCAGTTAGTCATCATCCCCACTTCTCCTCATCCTCCTGCCCCTCTGGGCCTCGCCCTCCCTACCTCCTTTCGGACATATCACAGGTCCTGTCTTATGACCTTCGGTACCATTCCGCTTCTGTCTACCCTTTGTTCCCGTTCGGACATCTTCGTTCCGATTCGGATCCCTTGTGCTTTTGCCCCCTCCATTATTGTCAGGGACGCATCCGGGGTGGAGGGGGCCCAGCTGTAGCGCCCAGCGGAGGGACCCTCTCAGGGGACGAAGCGGGCGCGCGTACTGACGGGCCCGATCTGGGACTGTAGTCCCTGGCCACTTAGACTGAAGTGGAAAACGTGAGAAGAAGGTTACTTCTTCAGTTCCCACTTCAGGTACATTTATGTACATGCGGCTTGGGTCACATGACGGGTGCCACGTCATCTACGGAGAGGGCCGCAGCCATCCGGGTATCCCCGCGGGGGATCCCGAGGGCGTCCGCTGCAGGTGCGCATGCTAGGCATAGCGGGAAGTCGCCTGGGGTGTCCGAGCCGGACGGGTCAACAGTACAATGATACAAGGGAAGGTGGTCCGTGTAAATAGAAAGAATAAACAGAAAGGGAGAGTAAAATAAAGGAGAAAGAGGAAAGAGGGAAGAGGGAGGAAGGATGGGTAGCGGGGAGCGGGTGAGCGGGTGAGGTGGGCCCAGGTGGGCCCGGGTGGAACCGGGTCAGGCGGGTGTGCCCTGACAATTATATATATCGGCGCTTGTACATACTCGTTTGGGGCTCAGTCCGAAATCAACCTGAAATGCCCCCTAGAGACTTCCTGCTCACCTACTGTGAAATTAAGGACCAAATGGACAAACAGCAATGGCACAGCGCTCCACTTGAGTCGCTGAGGCCAAGGTCCCTCCACGCTAAGTCTCCGATTCCACTCCGGAGTCGTCTGTTTCCGCCCATTTCTAACAGCACCCGTCTCCTTGGAAGCTCGCAAGTCCTTTATTACATCCACTATTCTCTCAGTCGATAAGTCCACTCTCGTCAGCATTTGTCGCCTCATTCTGAACATTTGCAAGGAATAGGTTTTGATTGCCAAGATCTCGTACCAACGGTGGGGGAGAAAGCAGGCATCCTTCGGAGTATGAACGGGATGAGGTGCTTTTCATTGACTACCTCAACTTGATCTATGACATTTACAAAGAACCCAGCCTCTATCAAATGGATCTCACCACCAAACTGGAGCCTGCATGATCCCTAATTGGACTGTGCTACTGAGACCCGGCCTTGCGTTCTGTTCTCTTCAATCAACCGCTGCCTTGGTCACTTAGCCAGTGTATGCAGAATATTTCAGGGTCGCAAAGCTGGGAGTATCTCGCGGACCACTATCGGGTCCCTCAGGCTCTAGATCTGCTTCTTGGAGCGGCACATGAAAATGAGGTGATTCTTGGCCCAATGACATTGATATGGATAACAATGACAATGCTTCATTTAGAGCTCACGTTACAGCTACTGGGGACTCCATTCGTCCAGCCCAACAGCTTCTACCGTTTGATCCTGAAATGGCACACCTCACTTGGATTTCCGTACTTGGTGCTGTGATTGATGTCGAGAAAAGAACAAGCCGATGTCGCTCAATCATTAACTATAATTGGGAAGGAATACCACTTGAGGTAAGCCCATACTCCTTGTAATGTGGTACAGTCGTTACTCACAGGTGCTTCTGCCTGCTGACCTCCATTGGCACTCCCACCCTTCGTAGTAAAATACCTTGGGAAGACTTTCAACACATGGCACATCACTTCAGAAATCCTTCAGTCATCACTTGATCATCTTTGGTGCCACCGTGCATAATGTCACCATTTCAATCGAACAGAATGGGTTCTGGGCAGTGCACAGACAATGTACAAATCGGCTCAGATACATACCCGACAAGGCAACGCTCCATTCAGGGAGTCCGAGTACTGTCCCCGCAGAGCTGAAGCGAAACAGAGAGGATGCTAAGCCAGTCGCCAACCAAAGCATACCTGGCAGTGCTCCTGAAAACACACCTGTGAAGGCTGGCTCTCGGCATCTATGGAGGTGTTTTCTGACGAACGTAGGTTTCCTCTCGTTATTCCTCAGCTACTGTTTACGAGTCAGCCCTGTAGCTTTTTGCTATCTCCTCGCACTCACCTTTTCGTTTTTCTCTCCCATTGCAGTGACTCTTGAAGACGAAAAAGAGTTCCTCAACAAGTGCATTGTCATCATTGAGCGAGACAGCATCGGATCCCCTCTCTCTCCCACCACCACTGCGGTTGCCAACCTCGATCTCACCAAGGACCCTGGAGGCATTCTCCCTCATTGGCCGCTGGGCTCTGACCCCTCTTCTGAGGCCTACTCCGACTACTATGGCTTCCTTTCCAACCCTGTCTCCATCTACCACATGGGGGACCCCTGGCTGAGGCGCACTGGCCCCAAGGCCTGACGTGCACCAAAGGAGGCTAGACCCATCTGTATCCACCCGATTGCACCCCTGTGGCATAAACTCGGTCAACAGATTTACAAATACTTCAATTCCGTTAACCTCAAGTGGACGAGTATTGATCCTGCCTGCTTCACTGAAGTTGGAAAGGAAGCCGGTCCTCTTTTCCTTTGGGTGGGCGTGATTCCTGGCACTCTCTCCCGCGATGACGCTGAGGACGCAGCGGCACGCTGCCAGCAGATTCTTGCAGAGTCTCAGATTACCAGCATCGAAATCACATTCCGCAAGTCAGTCTTCACCAGCAGAAGTGTTCATCCAGCAATTGGGAAAATGGTCATCAACATCGATACCGCGAATGCTGTTATGTATGTACTTTTCATTGAAACTCTCCAAGTTGAGCTCATGGAAGGTTTCTCGTCCAGGATCAAAGCAGGATCCTTGCTCGATGTATGCATTGACCTCTTACTTGACGAACACTCAAGAGGCCATGTCAACGTCTGATCGATCCTCAATCCAGTGTATATGTCCGATGTAAAACTAAAGCAGTTAAACAGACAAACATCTAATTATGGACCAAAACCATCCCAGGTGCACCCGGTGCACTGCAGGTGGGATGAAGAAGGAACATGTTATCAAGAAAATTGAACAAATGAGCGTGGATCGGTATCTGTTCTGGAACAAGCGTGGAGAAGAGCTCACCTTTAAGGTATTGATATCTATTCCCATCATCATTAAGCCTCTTTTCATATGATTGGTGGGAACCAGCAATATTTCCAAGGGCTGGGAAAAGCACCCGGTCGGCCGGTCCAAAGCTCCTTAACTATGTCCTCCCCATTGATCCAACTGCCGACATACGCAGCCCATTCACTCCCGCACCTGGCCTCCAGATCGCCCCCAAAGCTTCCCTCACTTTGAAGGCACCGGTCTCTACATCTGCAAAACTACCGGCCTGCCTTGTCGCGAGCTCATCCTCCTCAGGAGCAAGGCCTACCAGAACAAACTCAAGAAGCTTGAGGATTTGGGGATGCTATTGAGGGTGAGGACACCACGATAGCTGGGGCATGGAAGATGTTTGAGGGAAAGTTAGAGGTGGAGAAGTCGATGAAGACCCTGAACAAGTTTGTCAGGGCACACCCGCCTGACCCGGCTCCACCCGGCCCAACCTGACCCGGTACCCCGCTGGTCCACCCTTCCTCACCTCCTCCCCCTTTTCCTTCTTCCCCCCTCATCCTCCCCTCCTCAGTTTCTCCTTATCTTACTCCTTCTTTATTCTCCCTTTATTCCATACGGACGACTTTCTCTGTATCATTGTACAATTGACCCATCTGCAGCGCGCCCACCATGTACCCGGCCCGGGCACCTCGGGCAACCTCCCGCTGTGCCCAGCACGCGCACCTGCACCGGATACCCTCGGGATCTCCCACAGAGACACCCGGGTGGTTACGGCTGTGTGTGAGGGTGACGTGGCACCCGTCATGTGATCCAAGCCGCATGTATATAAACGAACCTGAAGTGGGAACCGAAGAAGTAGCCTTCTTCTCAACCTTCCACTTCAGTCTAAGTGGCCAGGGACCACTGTCCCACATCGGGCCTGTCAGTACGCACGCCCGATCCGCCCCCCGCCAGGCTCTCGGTCCCGGATGCTATACCCGGACCCCCTCGACCCCGGACGAGTCCCTGACAGCAGAAGAAGGCTTCAACTTCATCTCCCCCGCCTCCCCTGCCTCTCCTGCCATGGTGACGGAAGAACAGTACGACGACCTCCTAGCCCGGTTCCAGGAACTGCAGGCTATTGTGGAGAACCAAGTCCTTAACCATCCCCCACCTGCTCCCGCGCCTGCACCCGCGCCTATTGTCACGACCCGACATATCCGACACTTCCCTCTACGCGTCCTAGTGTCACTTGGCCCGTCCCTCCCGCTATCATCATCATCCGTCCACCCATCCATCCACCCGTCACCCTCATCCGCACTTCCTCCCTCGCGCGCGTACCTCCCAACCTAGGTTGCCCGCTTCATTGTTGTCCGCCCCCAGCCGGACGGCTTGCTAGACGGCCGGATGGCCTTTTCTCTTTTGTCCGCTTGCGGACTATTGTTCCTCCTATTGTTCCTTGCTTTCCTTTTGTTGACCAAGTTTGCCGATATTGATTATTTGTTCCTTTCTTCATTCATTAATATCGCGCTTGATCTGCCACTCCTTCCGGGCCGCTCTCATTTAGTTACTTGTGTTTATAATGCGTGTAGGTTACACCGGATGTACCTCAGTTCGTATATCGACTTGGATTCCCCCTCTAACTCTTATCCTCATCGTAAGGCTTCTGTCTGAAATTGGGACACCAACGTAAGAACGAAGCGCAGCGCTCCACCCGAGTGTCACGACCGACAAATCCCGGGGCTCTGTCAGCGGCGAACCAATGCCGATAGGCGAATCCGCCGACCCGAAACCCATCCTAACCAGCCCCCAACCCCATGTCTGGCCTCCTGTCTTACTGCATGAGACTTGGCCAGTAATCAGAACCTAGACCCTGCCGGTATTCCGACCTTACCTCCAGTTCCTGAGCCCTTGGCGCTCCCGGCATTCAGTCATGCCTGCCTTGTCTCCATCCGATGTCTCCATCCGAACCACACTCATCACTTCCCGCTATGTGGTCACAGCCATGCCCCGCTTCCGTGCATTCCGCACCCTCTGCCCATCTCTGCACCTTCTGGCCACTTCTGGTTGCCCTTGACACCTCTGGTCAGGTCAACACCTCTGTACCTCTGTTGGCCTTCATGCTGTCCTTGTGTGACAGTGCTGGCAGATCAACCTCTGTTTGCGGACTTGTGTCGGCACCGCACCGACCCCGCTTATTTGCGGACTTGTATCGGCGCCGCGCACTGACCTCCGCTTTTCCTCCGGCCATTTGTCACTTGGCAGCTTGTCATTCATTCTTTGCCGAGTGCCATTCATTGTTTGCTTCCCTGCCAATATTGGCATTTGATCCCCTCTTTATTGGCACTAGGTTATTGATCTCATTCAGTTATTCATCAATAACCCTTGCCACTTATTGTTTATTGATCTGTTCCTCATTTCCAGTTCCCGGGCTCTTGTCCTTATTTAGTTTGACAATCCCCGCTTATCTCCGCGCCGGACCGCGCCGGACTGACCGGCCTTTCTATATTCCCTCTTGCCTATTTATATACCTTGTAAATACTTTTGGGGACCTCAGTCTGAAATCAACTAGAGTACCCCCCTGTCTGGTCTGAGTCTCTCCTTCTGCAAAGGGGGCTTCCCCCCTCTGAGTCTGTGCTCGCGGAGTCCGCGCTCCTCCTATAGGTCCGCTCCGCCTGCAAGTCTTGTTTGAAGTCCGCTGTAAGTGTCAGTCCGTAAATATGGGATCTCCCCCAAACGTCAAGCTCAGGGCACAGCGCTCCACCTGAGTCGCTGAGGCCGCGATCCCACTCTGCTAACCTTGAACAGCACTTCCGGACGCGCCGCATATTTCCGCCTGCATATCCGCGCGCGCGCTCCAACAGACCTCTGCATCACCTCCGACCTCAACTCAGACAGAACCCAATCCGTCGTCTATCTGTCTTCTGACAGTCTGCCAGACTCCAACAATATTCCCAGTCTCTGACAGCATCCCAGATCTCTGACAGTATTCCGACTCCGACAATAATCCCGATCTCTGACACCGAGTCACTGAAGCTAAAGTCCTGCCCCTCCGACCTTACGAGCCCGGACGACCTCGCGCGCCTCGCGGGTCACCCGGATACGCTTCTGGAACGTTCCTGACACCTATCCCCGCACCCGCTCCCACACCCGCCCCCAGACCCAAGCCACCTAAGGTCGCCCCCCCCACGCCCTTCTCAGGAGCCAGTGAGGACCTGGACCGTTTCAAAGCCGAATGTGGAATCTACTTCCACGTCCACGCGTCCGAGTTCCCCACCGCCCTCTCCCAGATTCTCTTCGTGTTGTCCTACATGAAGGGAGGGCCAGCAGGAGCATGGGCAACGCAACGCACAATCTCGCTGTTGACCGCAGGGTCTCCGGCACTCACCATGGACGAGTTCAATACGGAACTCGACGACATGTTCCAGGACCCAAATCAGGAAGCCACCACCCAGCAGAAGCTGGCGGCCATCCGACAGGGGAGCGACTCCATGGACAAGGTCATCCAGGAGTTCGAGATATTAGGGCCTGCCTCAAGACTGGGTGACGTAGGGCTGGTCGACCACTTCGAGCAAGCGATCAACACCCGGCTCCGCGAGAGCATTTACCGTCTCCGCCCTATGCCCACCACCTGGGCTGAATGGAAACGCGAGGCCACCCTCCTCGACAACCAGTGGCGACATTTCCAAGCCACCCAGCCACGAGCACCCCCACCTAGACCCCCACTCCCATCAACCAGACCCCCTCTAGCCACCACCCCCCCCTACGCGCGGCCCACACCCACCACTTCACGACCTACGCCCGCACCTGCACCCCCAACCCCCGCAACCCGTCCCACACCAGGAACAGGTCCACAGCCAATGGACCTCGACCGATCGAGGACTGACCAAAGACGGAAGGGGTTGTGCTACAATTGCAACGCCCCAGGCCATGTCGCACGAGAGTGCCCGCACCCTAAGGTCCACCGAGTCCGACGCCTGCATCCGGAGGACCTACGAGCGTTGATGGAAGGGCTGAAGAGGCAATTGGGTGAAGGACCAGAGGCAGAAGAGGGAGAGACAGGGCCAGACCCCCAGGAAGAGGATTTTCAGGAAGGCGACTGGTGAGGGATGCGCCCCGGCCGCCTGTAGAAGATAACCCGTGTAAATACCGCAACGTGCGCGAGTCAACGCCACTGCAGAAATTCCATCGAGTTATCGCAAAGAAAAAGAGGAAAAGTGCATCCTCTACCCACAGAAGTGAGAGACGCCCAGAGCTAACACCCGAAGTAGCGGTGTCTCCACCCGCCATTTACGTCCTTTCCAAACAATCCCCCAGGTCACTCAACCTCACGGTGACGTTGACCGCCCTGACCTCTCTCGCCCCTGTATCAGTGTCAGCCCTCCTGGACTCAGGGGCCACCGGGAACTTCGTAAGCCCTGAGTTCGTCCGGAAGCACAGGCTCGAGACCACCCCGCTCCCACAACCCATACCCGTCCGCAATGTTGATGGCACCCCGAACGAGAATGGGGCCATAACGGAAGAACTGGAAGCCCTCCTGACGTTCAGATGACATACAGAACGGGCCCGCTTTGCAGTTGCAAACCTGGGACGCCAATCCCTCATCATAGGGCACTCGTGGTTGCTGCATCACAATCCAG